TTGAATGGCCAAGGTAGGTATGAACCTGTGAAAGCCCTTATAAAAGTGTCTTCATTGAATAAAAGAGAGCATTAAGGAATGCAATGGCACGTGCCACATCTAAAATTACCATTAATTTTAGTATATTTGATTTCCATTTGCAATACAATCTCAATAGTAGAACTTGGGGCCTTTTTAACACAGTTAAAAAAAATTGTGAATTTGTTTTGCCTTTTTTGGTAGCAAATCTCCTGAGGACTAAGAGGCCCTTTTTCCTCTTCCGGTCCTCCGTGACAGTGAGCAGTATTTTTCCAGTGAAACAGTGCAGGCTCCCAGCTCCCAGCGGACTCACAGATTACTCTGGGGCTTAGTCTGTGCGCTTCCAGATTACTCACGGAGTAATGTAGGTAGCTAGGACTGGGGAAAAGAGAAGAATCTTTGAAAACCTGTATACCAAAGGTGAGAAAGTTTCTTACACAGTCTTCAAGGTTATGAAGCCTTCCTTCTTTTTTAAATTTATTTTTATTGGAGTATAGTTGTTTTATGGTGTTGTTAGCTTCAGTGTACAGAAAAGTGAATCAGTTATATGTAAACATGTATCGACTCTTGTTTTAGTTCCTTTTCGCATACAGGTCATTACAAAGCATTGAGTCAAGTTCCCTGTGCTGGACAAGAGGTGTTTATTAGTTATCCGTTATATATATTGTCATGTGTATATGGCAGTCCCAATCTCACTTATATGTGGAATCAAAAAAGGGGGCACTGACGAGCCTTCCTTCTCTTTAAAGCCTCACGTGAGGCCATGGGCTCAGGCCTCCCGCCGTCGCTGCGCTCCTTCCGTCCTCCTAGGCCGAAGGGCATGACCCAAACACGGGAGCCTTCCTGAGCTCGCCCACAGCTCTGCTGCTCCGGCTGTTTCCTTCTCTTGTGTCTGACTTACTTCCCTTTTGTCTCCCCGACCTCTATCACCTTGGTCTTTTTCTGCCCCCTAACTATCCTCATTAGAGATCACCAACAATTCTTCTCCCTGTCTAAAAGGTGTAGAAACTCCATGTGGGGCTGACTCAAAATTGGATAGCTGCCGTCCTCAAAACTTTCAAAATTGTTGAGTCTTTTAGTTCAGAACAAGAAAACGGGATCAATAAACATTTTTCATCCAAAGGTCATAGCTGTGTTTCTCCCCTCCACCGCCACTGGGGAAAGAATGCCTAGAATTCAACCAGTTTCCTAAAAGATCTGTGATCCAAAGGGTGAACAAGACCCTTCGATAATTCAGCATCCTGAGTGTTTGGGGGCGTCTACTTTGTGACGACCTTCAAACCAGATTAGATTCTGTGGTACATCAGCCACTTTGTCTTTCCGCCCGAGAAGCAGCGTTAACTGCTAGAGCAGGTGCCTGAGGAAACTCCTGGTTCTGTGGAAGGTCACTAGGAACCAGGAGGCATAGCTTCTGGCGGAAAAGTTATGCCACTAAGTTGTTGCGTGTATTGGGCAAGTGTTTTCATGTTTCTGGGCCACTGTTTCCACATCTCTAATTAGGGAGTTGGACTAACTCAGAGGTTTCAAACCTGACCTGGAGATTTGGGCCCCACGCCCACCCACCTCCAACCAAAAGAGACTGGTAGGAGTCTCTGTAACCTGATTTTTTTAAGGAACCCTTCTCAAAGCGTCCTATTGTCTGCCACGTGTACAGGCCATTGTAGCTGAGACTCTACGGTTACTGCTAGCTCTAAAATGCTGCGCGATAGTCGCTCAGTCGTGTCTAACTCCTTTCAACCCCATCGAGTATAGCCTGCTAGGCTCCTCTGTCCATGGAATTCACCAGGCAAGAATACTGGAGTGGGTTGTCATTTCCTTCTCCAAGTTAAAATACTGATTTTTCCATTAAACTAGTATTCTCTACACTAATGCTAATCTGAATTAACATGAAGTATTGGTGTTAGTCAGGGCTTCTCCGATAGCTCAGTTGGTAAAGAATCTGCCTGCCATGCAGGAGACCCTGGTTTGGTTCCTGAGTCGGGAAGATCTGCTGCAGAAGAGGTAGGCTACCCATGCCAGTATTCTTGGGCTGCCCTTGTGGCTCAGCTGGTAAAGAAACCGCCCGCAATGCAGGAGACCAGAGTTCGATCCCTGGGTTGGGAAGATTCTCTGGAGAAGGGATAGGCTATTGACTCCAGTATTCTGGCCTGGAGAATCACATGGACTGTATAATCCATGGGGTCCCAAGGAATCGAACACGACTGAGTGACTTTCACTTTCACTTTCATTGATATTAGTCAACAGAATGAATATATCAGAGCATTCTGTTTAAAATACACGTGATTAATAATATGTGTGAATGAAATGATTTATTCAGAGAGCCCAGCACAGTAGTGCTGGCTATATAATGAACACTGACCTCATAGGATTTGCAGTGAAAATAAGTGGGATATTGTGGCTGAGGAGCATGTGCCAGCGTGCTGACGACAGTGATTACTCAATGAATTGATAGCCGACAGGATGGTAATAGGGCTTCCCAGGTGGCATTAGTGGTAAAGAACCTGCCTGCCAATGCAGGAGACATAAGAGACGTGTGTTTGATCCCTGGTTTAGGAAGAGCCCTTGGAGAAGCAAGTGGAAACCCACTCCAGTATTCTTCCCTGGAGAATCCTATGGACACAGGAGCCTGGCAGGCTATAGGGTCTATAGGTCTATAGGGTTGCAAAGAGTTGGACACGACTGAAGCAATCAGCATGCACACACACACAGGGTGATAATAATTGTGACATTGGTTATAAGATCTCATTACTCAAAGTGTGTCCCAGGGGTGAGCAACATCAATATTATCTGGGAACTCATCAGAATGCAGAGTCTCAGGCTCCACCCCAGACCTCCTGAGGCAGAACCTGCATTTTAACAAGATCTCTAGGTGATTTGTGTGCACACAGAAGTTCAAGAAGCACTGATATAGAAAAAGTCTTGGGGTTCAGCAACTCCAGGGAACTCATACTAGTAGTAAACCATTGGGGTTGGGAGTCACACACAAATTAGAAGATGCTAAGGCCAGTGCCTTTCTCTTATTCCTTAGAGAGTGTCTCTGACCCAGAGATGTCAGACTTCTGAATCCCTCTAGCATGCTCTTTCTCGCATCCAAACTGTAACTGAAAAGCTTTTTTAAAAACACAGTATTATGTCTACCACAGTAGCAATAGCACTGTAATTTTGCTTTATTTTTCACATTTTTAATTATTCAGCTGTTTTATTTGTCACCATTTAGGGAATTATTGCAAAACTTATGTCTACAATGCTACTGATTAATGCATATTTAGGCAACTAAACAGATGTAGAATGGGTTGACTGCTTTGATAAAATTAAACATTGATGAAACATATATTTGCACAGCAATAATGATGCTGGCATTTGTGTAAATAATAACAGATCTAGCTCCCTAATCATCCACAAAACACAGTGAAGGAGGCGACAGAATTACCAAATACGTCTCACTTACTAGGCAGATCATTTTCAAGTGCGTGTTTTTTTCCATGTGAATAAAGTTATGTTAATTTATAGCATCTATTACCACTTTAAAATGAAAGAAGTATATTTGAGCAAAAAACAATGTGGATGAGACCCAAAGCATATTTCCAAAATATGTTATAATCTCCAGAGCTGCTTTGTACTTCATAGAAGGTACATGTTTTCTAATGTACTCCTCCACAGTAATGTGGTTTGATTATCTGCAAGATATGTTTTGAGCTTAACTGAATCTGTTACACATTTTAACATCTCTGTTACACACTTTAACATCTCTGAAATTGGGATCTGTCATAATTGATGGCATGTCATAATTCAATTGACAGCATTTTTTTTCTATTTTTTACAATCAATTGGATCTTAAAGCCAATTAAATTGAAAATTAGGATCTGTAGTGAACTTAATCCTAGTCCACATGCTAAGTCACTTCAGTCATGTCCGACCCTTTGCGGCCCTAGGGACTGTAGCCCACCAGGCTCCTCTGTCCATGGGACTCTCCAGGCAAGAGTACTGGAGTGCGCTGTCATTTCCTTCTCCAATCCTAGACCACAGAGTACAATAAATGGAACATAAAGGAATCATTACAGCCACCTGTATTTACGTAAGAAGGGCAAGCGAATAAAGAGATAGAAATGACATTAAATAAGAAATGGTTCCACGGATTTCTGTTTTCACAAGAGCCAGAGGGGAAAATCCTAGAAGATAAGATAATTTAGTAAAAGGGCAAGAAAGAGCAGTAAGAGAGATGGAAAACAAAAGGAGAGCAAATAAAGAAGCAGCTGGAAAATGTAGCCAAAAAGTATACTGTTTTGACCACAGTTTCCTTTAAGTTCAGTGTCCTACACCAGCCAGTCAATTTGCCGCTCCCTTTTCTGGATGCAGGAGATGCTCCCAGCATCTTTCAGGCGGTGTTTTCTCTCTGCTGGCCCACACAGGTGGGCCAGTCACCCCATCACCTCTGAACTTCCATCTCTTTCCCTGTCTCCTGTGTTTTATCCAGGCCCAAACCACCCACGTTACCATCCAGGGTTCTTGGCCTCCTTAGTCAATAGAAATCGGTCAAAGGCCAGACAAGAAACTCCCGCAGGTCTCTACTGGGGCCGCTGCTGCACAGAGGGAGCCAGGAAGGAAGCACAGGCTCCCTGGCGCGCTCACTCCGCACGGCGGGCCAGCTGGGCCTACACGGTGCGGGTGGACGTGCCCAGGGCCGGGAACAGCCGGCGGCTCAGACGGCCCGCCCACCCGCAGGCGCAGGACCCTGCTCTCCCTCTGGCTCTTCAGAAGCGGCACTTGGGTTTTCTTTGTCTTTTGTTTTGTTTTTTGGTCTTTTATCTTGTTGTCCACAGTTAGCCCCAGCTGCACGTTCATTTTTGGTCCCTTGTAGTTTCTTCGTATTTTGTTGCTTGAGGAAGGTGTGTCCAGATGCAAACACAGCCAAGCGTCCCGGGGCCCAGGCCCGTCTCTCTGGGTGTGAATGATGGTTACAACTTCTGTTTTTGTTCTTTCAGGTGATCTCAAGATTATCAAACAAATCGACAGTCTCACAGGTATGGCTTTTTGCCAAAGAGCAAAATATTTATCTAAACTTCGTGGGATTTCCAACAAATCTGTTTCCCTCTTGAAGATTTTATGTATTCACCTTTGACTTCCCCTAAAACACTTCCCAATGAGAGATGTGGTAATTGACTTTCCTGCGTTTGGGAACAGAAAGAAGGAGACTCATAAATCTTTTTAAGTGCCTTACTGGTATGGTTAAAAAGTAGTTTGTCACCAAAACCTGCCCAAACTAGCAAAGTCCTGAAGTGTTCATCTTAGCAGAATTGAGCTTGTAGGTCAGTCTCAACTTTTAAGAACCCTCCAATTTCATGGAAAACTTTCCTGCAAAACAGTGGCTTGTCAGACTTATAACCTAGACTTTTATTGCCAATCATCCTGTGACAGGAACCCTATAAATGGCTCCTTTTCTTGCCTTGTTCTCTTTGTGAAGCAGAGCCCCCCAATTTTCACACACACACACACACACACACACACACACACACACAGAGACACTTGCATGCAGAGGCACACGAATAAATCCAGTTGCATAACACATTACAGAGATGTTGATACTTGACTGAAGATGGTCGGAAGTGGGAAGCAAACTGAGCTAGTCTTGAAAAGTGTTTTTAAAACTCTTAAAGCATCTCAGTGCTGTCAGCCATGTTTCTCTCTGGCACTGGTTGCCTTTCCTCTCCCTTCTCTACAAAACCCCTCCTCAGGAACTAGTAAAACTGTCCTTCCATGAGAATAGGCATCTTCTCAACAGGCATCCTTTCCTCATGACTGTACCTCTTTTCTGCCAGGCCTTTCCTGTATTCTCTTTGTCATGAAGAGAAATGTAACCTTCTTTTGGATTTTCCAATTTGAATTCTTCACCCCTCCACAGCACTCCAAAAATGAACATCCCTTCCAAGAATACACCACCCTTAACTTTCAAAATAAATTTCTGTATAATTAAGGCTGAAGCTCATTTGCAGTATCAAAGCCACTAGAATAACAGGGGTTTTAATAAAATACTTGTTTATTTGTCTCTGGTGGATTAGGTTGGAGGTGGGCGATATGACAGTGTCAATTGGGTCTAGAGGTTTCCTTCTTGCTGCATGATCTTTAAAGCATGCCTTCCTGCTTCAAGATCCCCTCATGCTCTCAGATGGTTGCTGGAGATCCATTCATTTCACCAGTGTTCCAGACTAGATGCTAAATAAATATAAAAGAGCAAGATAGAAGCTCCCCTTCTTCTAGAAGCCTTCCTTAAATGTCCTTATAACTGGTCGACTTATACACTATCATCCCAGAATTTGGACTCATGTCTAAACTATATGGCAAGGGAATGTGGAAAAAGTGATCTTTGGGCAAGGTGCATTGCTAAGAGTTCTTTAAGAAATAAGGGGATATTATGTAAAATATCCCAATACTATCTGTAGGACCTGCCCTAATGTAAATATTTTTTCCATTTTCTTCATGATCATCCTCATCATCACAAGGGCAAGCATTTAATTAAGCTCATTCACTGGAGAAGGAAGTGGCAACCCACTCCAGTACTCTTGCCTGGAGAATTCCATGGACAGAGGAGCCTGGTGGGCTATAGCCCATGGGGTCACAAAGAGTTGGACCTGACTCAGCGACTGAGCACAGCACAGCAAAATGCACATCACTAAGGGTTTAACTTCCATTACCTAATATCTAATTTTTCCTCACACTATTGCTGATTTACAGATGAGGAAACCAGGGCTTTAAATAGTTACATTACTTGATCAAGGTTAGCTGGAAAGTAGGACTTTTAGGACCATGTGACCAAAAATGCATGCATTCAACCACTACACTTTATTCTGCTTTCATTTTAGTCAAGACAGGTTTGACTGACTCATTTGTGAGTTTGAAATGACTACCCCAGCAAAATGTCATGAGCTCACTTCGAGATTCCTTTGACTGTGGGAATTGCCCCATGGGAGCTTTCGTGAGAAAGATGAGAGGGAAATGAAGAGACAGGTCAAAGAGAAGGGAAAGAAAGATCTGTGGTTAAACTTTGTGGCCGTGTACACACAGGTGAACCCAGCGGCACGAGGGAGGAGGGTGTTTCTATACGGATGGCCCAAGAAAGTAACTGGTACTCATCCTGCACAGAGGCTGTATGTGGGGCTGATGCTTAATAATTTAATACATTTGGGTGCTGTCTGCAATAATGGTCCAGTAATTAATTCTTGGTATAAATCGCGTTGGCTGCCCGGATCACAAGATATAGTATCTAAGCAACTGGTCCAGTGAGCCAAATCTCCATGACGAAATGGAAGTATGAAAATTAAATGAACTTGTAGAAGTACACGCATCTTATAAGTTACTAGTCAGAAGATTCTCTTAGAGCCAAGGGAGCCTCTTTGAAACAAAGGCATGATTAAATTGCCAGTGCTAATGTAAATAGAAGTCCAATCAGAGAATGTACTCACTGATCTTAATTTCTTTGATAAGTTTGCTCTGTCCTGTCTTTAGCTGGATGATTTCACTTTTCTTTTCCACAATACTAGTGTGCAAATGTTCCTCTGCAATCCCACATGGGTCCACCTTTTGTTAAAAGCACAGAATTTTGAAATGCTGTGGGGAAAAAAAAAAACAAAATAAAGGCAAAACCGTGACTACTGAATAAAGGGGCTTCCCTCATAGCTCAGATACTAAAGAATCTGCCTGCAATGCAGTAGACTTGGGTTTGATCCCTGAGTCAGGAAGATCCCTTGGAGAAGAAAATGGCAACCCACAGCAGTATTCTCGCCTGGAGAATTCCAAGGACAGAAGAGCCTGGCGGGCTACAGTCCATGGGGTCTCAAAGAGTTGGACAAGACTGAGCAACTAAGCATATTAAATAAAGAACTAATGGCATTACATTTAAATATTAATTTAAATATTTGCATCTAGTTGGAAAGATGAGTCTTTCCCTTTCCTCAAGAAATTTTAACCCATGAAATTAAAATACACAAAAAATCTTCTTAAGTGAACTGATCATTTCAGTTATAAAAGCTATGGCCTCCACTGAATGGGCCCGTCAGTCACTATAGATCCAAATTCATTTGGGATTCTCCAAGGAAAAAAGACTGGAATGGTTTGCCATTTCCTTCTCCAGGGGGGTCTTCCCAATCCAGGGATCGAAAGTGGGTCATCTCCTGCATTATAGGCAGACTCTTTACCAGCTAAGCCACCAGGGAAACCCGTATATACATACATACATATACATATATATTTGATTATAGTAAAATGCACATACCAATGACCCAAGTGTTCATTAAGATGAAGTAATAACCATGACAGCTCATGACATTTGAATAGTGCTCTTAGATGTTTACTGTTTATTTTATTTTTATTAGAAATTGTTGATAAGAAAGTATAAAAGATACTGAGGCACAGGACAGTGAGCGGACCTTTTGGAGTAGGGAAGCCATGCCTGGGGCAGAAGAAACGCAGACTCTTCCAGCAAATCTGCTGAGGGCCTCCAGCTTGGCCTTTGCAGCCGGGCCTGCCTGGCCCTTCACCCGTTCCTCTGTCCTTGCCCACGCTCTCCTTAGCTTCTTCTAAGCCTGCGAGGCTGAATGGGCCCAGGCAAGGACTCTACGTAGGGTTTGGCAAGACCAGCTCCTTCCTTTCCCAAGGCCCTTTGCAGGAAGCAGGTCACAGCATTTGCTGCACTTCCCACCACCTGACTTGTGGGAACCAGGAAAACGAGGAAACTTCTCATCTTCTTCCATCTATGATACAAAATAGGAAGAAGCTTTCTTCTCCATGATAATATAATTTTGCTGGTTGATCGCCACATGAAGTTCCACTGAGGACCTTGTAGCTTTAAAATATCAAGGCCCAATTATGCTAAGTGAAATCAGTCAGACAGAAGAAAAGACAAAAACTGTATGAGATCATTTACACGTTGAAGTATCTAAAAAATACAACAGGCTAATGGCTGTAAGCCAGAAGAAGAAGACTGGCAGCCACAAAAAAACAGCTGGTTACTAGAGCCGGGGCGGGGAGGGCAAATTTCAGGGTGGGGGGGCTGGGGTGCAGACTATTGCGTATAAAATAAGCTACAGGGTATATTGCACAACATGAGGAATGTAGCCAATACTTTATAGTAACTGTAAGTGGAGTATAGCCTGTAAAAAGTGTGAATCATATTGTATATCTGTGAATTACATGATACAATTTTATATAATATCAACCATAATTCAATAAAATAAAATGATAAGGATACATGAAATTAGTTAGTTAATTAAACTATCAAGGCCCAAGACTTCTCAGTAAAATTGAAAATGTCTTATTCCTAAAAGCGTGCCATCATATACTGTTATAAATGACAGGCTGATGAAAAGCCTGATGCAACCCTAGTAAAACGCACCTTTCGCATAGCTCCCACTAAGAAGGTTTAAAAGACCAAACAAGCAAAGCCCAGGAAAGCAGAGAGAACAAACCTAGCAGAGATCAGAAGCTGGGAGGCTTTGCACACCTGAGTAAGCAAAAGCCGAGTCTGCGAAGCCTTCCGTTTTAAAGTCTCTTGGGGAGCTGACTGCTCAGATGGGAGTTGCTGGTGAATGGTACGTGCCTCTGAAAAGCTCTTCACGTCTGTACTCATCTGTGTCGCCCTCTGGTTCAGTCGGAGCCCAAGGGAAATGGCAGCATCAAGAAGAGACTGCCGTCCATCGTGGAAGACGAGGAGGCGGAGGACTTGGGGGAGGAGACAGCCTCCCTGTCCCCCGTCTACACCAGGGGACCCGCCTCTTCTCGCAGCAAGCGGCCTGCAGGCGCTAAGAGCTACCTCGGCTTAAGCCTGAAGCAGCTGGCCTCGGGAACCGTGCCGTTTCATTCACCTATCAGAGTCTCCAGTTCAAACTCCCCCAAAACCAAACAGGAGACGGATGCCCCAAACCACGGCAAAAGAAAAGAGAAGAACTTGAAATTGCAGCTTTCAACCTTGAACAGTGCTGGACCCCCAGACCTCAGTCCAAGGTAAGAGCTTACCTCATAGAATCCTTTCCCGGTGGAGATGGCTGCCTTTGCCCCTCACTGGCGTCTGGCTAGAAAATTACTCAACCTTCTGGACCTTTCTACCATGAAAGTTCCGAGCCTGGAGGCTTCAGCGTTCCTAAATTTTTCTGTGCAATTTTTGACTCTATAGTGAAGTGTGGGCAGAATGAGAATAAATCATGTTAGTCATATTCTCAAAAGGGTCCATTAAATGTTCCCAATTCCTTCTCTTCTCCATTTATTCATTTAGCTCTACCTACTTTTATATAGGAGCGGGTTGCCATTAACTGCTCCAGGGGATCTTCCCAATGCAGGGACTGAACCCACGTCTCCTGTGACTTCTGCATTGGCAGGTGGATTGAGCCAGTCTGCCAATGAACCACCTGGGAAGCCCCAACTGTGTACACGCTTTTATAGATGTATATTTCTACACTGTAATTTTATAATTTATAAATTTCTAACAAAAATGAAAGAGAGGAAATGAAGTTTATATCGTTATCCCTTGATATCTGAAACTTTACCAAAAGTTTCACAGGGCAATCAGTGGAAATGATAAAGAAAATTAAGTGCTGGTCCTCATTTCCCATAGTGTTTGCTTCATTATTGTGGATAACTGAAGCTTGATTTTACTTCCAGCCTCTTCAGTAGGTAATATGGGATGGTTCTATTTTTAATTTAAAACATTCACTTTAGGATCCACTAAAGATGATTGAGACAGTAAAAATTCCTGACTCAGAAAACATGAAAGGGGTAGACTATGGGGCAAAGCAGCTAATTAAAAAGTAGACATAAGAAAAAAGCATATTGAATGATTTCTATTCCCATATACTCAGCTGGGTAATTTTGCATTTACTGTTATGGCTAGTCTTTTCAGGAATCTTATAAAGTAGTTCATAGTTCCTCGGCTATAAACTTATAAGAAGTGTATTTTGAAGGTTAAATAGTTTGTCTAAAATTTCAGAAATTTGAGTTCTGAAATATAGATTCAAAGTCTGTTTTTCTGTTCATAAGGCAAGAGATCTTTCTGGTATACTATATATTGGTTACTCACTTGAAGAATACAATTTATCCATTTAGAGAAAATAGTAAGGAAAAAATAAGCAAAGCAGGCTTAGTGAAAAGTAGATGGATATTAAATGTTCAGGAATTCAGTTGGAGATGGTAATTTGAAAACTCAGCTTAACTATTCTTCCTAAATTTTCTCTAAAATGAAAAAATAATAAATTTTAAATAGGGGGGAAATATGTCAGAGCTGGAAAATAAAGGTTCATGTACAACTGATTCTACACTTATGAAAAAAATGTTTTATTTTATATACAGAAATATTTTGAGAACATGGCAAAATGTTAATGATAATTGTGCATGACAGATGATTTTTCTTTTGAGATTTTGATTGCATGTTTACATTTTCTACAATAAATTAATCTTTTTAAAAAAATTATGAGCGGGTTAGATATTCACCAAGGAAAGAAGATTAGCTAGAGTCCTAGTAGTCATTTAAGTACAATTCTTCACCTGTCACTTCAGAGTTTCAAGTCTAGAGTGAAGTTATCATTAGGTTAAAACTCTTTAATTCTGGATAGAACAGTAAATTAATATAAATTTAGATAAGAGGACCGGAGAAGGCAATGGCACCCCACTCCAGCACTCTTGCCTGGAAAATCCCATGGACGGAGGAGCCTGGTGGGCTGCAGTCCATGGGGTCACTAAGAGTCGGGCACGACTGAGCGACTTCACTTTCACTTTTCACTTTCATGCATTGGAGAAGGAAATGGCAACCCACTCCAGTGTTCTTGCCTGAAGAATCCCAGGGACGGAGGAGCCTGGTGGGCTGCCATCTATGTCCGTCACACAGAGCCGGACACGACTGAAGTGACTTAGCAGCAGCAGCAGCAGATAAGAGGACTTCTGTAGCTAAGGTTTTGAATCTGAGAATAAATAAGAATCTAAAATCTATAGAATTGCTGTTCAATAGAAATATAACACGAGATAAAATTGTGAGACACACAAGCATTTCTAATCATTCCAGTAGCCACATCTTTGAAAAGTAAACACACATGTGCACACTTGTGAAATTATTTAATAATAATTCAATGATATGCTTTATTTGATTTGAGATGCCTCAGATATTAGCATTTCAGATGTAAACAGTATAAAAAATTACTAGTTAAATAGTGTAATGTTTTTATGAAAATCTTCAAAATCCGGTATGTGTTTTATACTTACAGCACATCTCATTTTCACACTGCAGGCGCTCAGTGGCTGTAGAAGGCTAATGGCTACCACGTTGGGTAGCACACCTCTAGAGTGTCTAGAATTTAGAAATTTAACACAAGATTTTTTAACTTTTCTAGAAGTAACTGTGACCCATGAACATAAATGCACAACTCGCCAATCCTCATTATCTTAAACAGGATTGTTGATGGAATTGAAGATGGAAACAGCAGTGAAGAAGGCCAGACTTTTGACTTTGGCTCTGAGCGAATCAGACCGGAACCCAGAATTTCTCCTCCTCTTGGAGGTAAGCTCTATATTTAGTCTTTTCTCAAAGGCTGATATTCTTTGTAATTTGTAATATTTGGCTCTTCGCATCAGGTGGCCAAAGTATTGGAGCTTCAGCATCAGTCCTTCCAGTGAATGTTCAGGGCTGATTTCCTTTAGGATGGACTGGTTGGATCTCCTTGCAGTCCAAGGCTCTCCAGAGTCTTTTCCAGCACCACGACTTGAAAGCATCAGTTCTTTGGCTCTCCTCCGTGGTCCGACTCTCCTGAACATAGGCAACCCCAACAGTCACGAGATGTAAGGCTGAGAGTCCCCTGCCCACTCCCTCCTCCCCTTCCCACCTGGCTCTGATGTCCTTGTGTCAGGATCTCCTGCTAATGAGCGAGTCCTTCCATGGCCAAAGCCAAGCCCAAGAAAGACTTCTGAGTGTACAGTCCTGGGGGGAATGTGTCTCCATTTGGTAGAATGCCAGTCTTCTATCTCAGTCAGCACCTCTTCCAGGCACCCATCATCTCCTGGGGAGACAGGTGGGTGAGACCCCCTGGTAGGACGACAGTGGGGTAGGGAAGGTGAGGAGAGGAATGCAGATGGCAGTCAGCAGTTCTTATGCATTCATTTAATGGATTTTCATGTGCTGATACCACTCTGCTCGGAGCAAGAGGCACAGAAATATAGCTCTGGTCCAACAGGTGTGAGTCTTCGCTGTGGAAGCTGGTGGCGGTCCCGCCTGGGAGTTCTCCTTGCTGGGTCATAGGACGTCACCATGACTGCCCACCTGATGTTCCTGGCCCCGCCACCTTCCACCCCACTCCTCTCCCTCCCCAGGGTCCACACTGACACTCACTCATCCATCCAAGCAGCAAGAATCCTTGACTGTGCCTCCTACGGGTCTCTCATCTCTGTCTGAGACTTTCTGTCCTTTCTGCCACTACCCTTTCCCCGCCTCATTCATCTCTTGCCTGCTTTGCTGCCAAAGTCTCTTTTCTGCTTTCACTCTGTTCTCCAAAACGAGTGGACAATTTTTAAAAAATACAAATGTATTCTTATTATTTTATTCCTATGCTTAAAATCCTGAGATGGACTCCCATTGCCTTTAGTATGAAATTCAAGCCTATTGCCTAATTGCTTTTTGAATGTTTCTTTTCTCTGCTAGACTCACAGTTCCAGGAGGGTCAATATATTTCCTTTATTTCTGTCTCCTCGAAAGGGGAACTTCCCTGATAGCTCAGCTGGTAAAGAATCCGCCTGCAATGCAGGAGACCCAGGTTCAATTCCTGGATTGGGAAGATTCCCTGGAGAAGGGATAGGTTACCCACTCCAGTATTCTGGCCTAGAGAATTCCATACACTGTATAGTCCATGGGGTTGCAAAGAGTCAGACATGACTGAGCGACTTTCACTTCACTTCACCTCCAAAGGAGGTCTAGCCTCATGTAAGTGATCTTGTATTATTCATTGAATGAGTAGATTAACTTTGCAAAATACCTCTGTAAAAGGAGCTTTTACTACTCTGCCACTTCAGATTGTTTTGGACAACTTTTTTTTCCTCCCACAAATAACTTCTCTGTGCTTAGTTGCCCAGAATTAGGATATTAAGATAGTCACATCATGATATTTATACTGACAGATAGTACAGGTATAGATGTCTCTCTATATCAAATCCTTTCCACTCTAGCTAGCAATGACGCATCTGTGCTTCTGCTCCTAACAGATATGAATAGCTTTGTAAAAGTACTGTAGAGAAAAGGCGGAGATCAGAGAACCAGGAAATGGGAGAAATTACCTTTTAGTGCAACAGAAGAGACAGAAATCCGCAGTGGAGAGGAGCACCTTTAATAGAGGCGGGAAGAAAATGCTCTCATGGACCCAGGAATCAAAATTTGGAAAGGAAAGAGAGGAGGAAAAGAGCGCTCCTTTTCCATGGCTTGGAGGACGCTGGCCGCGATATATTTTTTGGCAAACAGTCAAAGAAGAGAACGAGAGCCCTTTGGCCGCATGGTAGTGATAGTGCTGGGGAGACAGGGCGTTTGGCCGCGGACACCCCCAGTAAGTGTGGCCAGAGGCCCCGCCATGCTGCGGGCCCGGTCCCAAAGAGCCCACCCGGTGCCACCCAGAGGCACCCCGGGGAGCCAGAGCTGACGGTGGAGGCGTCTCGGGCGAGGCGGCCTGGGCTTCCTTCCCGGCCCCGGTCGCCCCAGTCCTCAGACGCGAGGCGCATTCCTGAGGGCTCATGCTGTGTGTGTCCCTTTCCAGACCCAGAGATTGGAGCTGCTGTCCTCTTCATCAAGGCGGAGGAGACGAAGCAGCAAATAAACAGGCTCAGCAGTGAGGTACGGAGGCTTTCCTTCTCTGCTCAGGCTGGAGTGGTAAGGGGCTAGAGCGCCAGGCACCCGCAGAGCGGTGTGATAGAGTCGGGGCAAATGTGCGCTCGCGTGGCTAGCGACAAATGTGGATGGATTCCCACTCAACCTGATGTGAGTATCATCTTAACTTAACTTAACTTAACGTAACATAGCATAGCATAGCATAACTTCTCTCAAGCTCTGCCTTGCCATAACAAGGAGATAGCAGTTATACCTACCTTATGGCCCATCTGTGAAGTTAAATGGGATCATCTAGCTAAATCATTTAACATACAGGAAGCATTAAGTGCTAATTCCTCTGATTAATGTCATAAATGTATTGATATTTGGTTTCATTAGTGCTTTTTTTATATACTTTGACTTTTAATGAGTTAAAGCAAGATCATTCATCCAGAGCTGAATCAGAAGTAATGAATCAGAGTGATCCAATGGCCTGAAGCTGTTCTTTTCTCTAGCCTGCATTTGCTGTATAACTGAGCACTTTAGCTGTCTGGATCTTACCATCTCTTTGTATAAAATAAGGTAATTTTAAAAACAATTTTATTGTGGTATATTGTACATCTCATAAAAGGCACTCATTTGAAACGAGTACAATTTAATAATTTTTAGTAGCTTTATTGAGTGGTTCAACCATGCTCATGTGAGCTTTAGAATATTTTTATCACCCTAACAAGATCTCCCACACTCAATCATGATTAATTCCTGTTCCCATATCCAGTCCTGGGCAACCACTTGTCTACTTGCTGTTTCTATAAGTTTGTCTTTTCTGGATATTTCATACAAAAAGAGAAGGTAATTTTTGAATCACTTTCTTCATTTGGGCGCCCCCCCCCAATATAATTAATTGTTTAAAAAAAGATTTTGAGACAATGACTTGCATGCAGATACTTTCTCTGGGAGGTCCTCTGGGAAGCAAGAGGAAGGAGTAGAGGAATAAGACAGGAAAGAAAGGAAGGCGAGTGAATCGGGGGTGTGAATGAGACGATTAACTCTGAAGGCAGTTGGGGCTCCATTCTGCTGGGGTGGGGGGCGCTGGGAGCTTGTGTAGGGCACCTCGGAGTCGTTCTTCCGTGAGACAAGAGAGGAGATGGCTTCTGAGGGGTTACCTGCAGGCTTAGCTGCCCGAGAGACTACAAAGATCCTTCAAATAGGGAAATGCAGGAAGACCCAACTGTTTGTGACGACCTTCAGGATACACCTAGGTCAAGTGCCGTGAGCAGGCACAGGTAGGTAATAGGGCTGAGGTGGTAGATGCTCTGATGCGATCTCGGCAGAAAATGTAGCCAGCTGATGATGTGGATGAGATCTGAGAAAAATGGAATTCATATAAACGTAACTGGTTTCCAGTTTTCCGTAACAGCGGAGAACTGGGCATCTTGTCACGACGTGCAGAGGCTTCTGTTCCTCTGTGCTCCGTCAGCTCAGGGAGGATGCGCGTCTCACTGCGCTCTGTCCCGCGTCTGCGCTCTCTGGAGCTGAGAGTGTTGCCAACAGGAACGAAGAGGCCAAAGTGCAGACTAACAAGTGAGGGACAGAAACACTCGCTGGCTTGGAGCTCCGGTAGCTGTAAGGACTTGTCCTATGTGGGGTCGCCCCCAAAGCCTCTTTTTGAAAATACACCAAAAGAGCAAAACAAAACGGACTGAACACTCGGTTGGAGACCTGGACATCAACTTTGTGTGTGTGTGTGTTTGGTTTAAGAGCACGTTATTGTTGTGGAGTTTTTTTGATTGGCGGGGTTTTTTTGTTTGTTTGTTTGAACATCAACTTTTTGTGAAACAATTTCCTTTAAAATATTGTCATCAGATAAAATCACCCATCTGAATTATTTTCTCTCACATTTGAGGAGATTATCTAGTGGCTGTAAGAATGGATTGACCAATATCTTAGCTCAGCTACAGAAGTTAGTGACTAGTTTGGGGAGAAAATGTGTATCTTCACCTTTTGGAATATTGATGATTTTTCCAAGTTACAGCTGAAAATCCATACAGTATATGCCTTTCCTTTCAGAATGTGAGTCAATGATAAATGCATTAAAACATATGACCACTTGGAAAACAAAATATTTCCCCTGTGTGATTCTACATTCATGACTGCTTTTCTAGTGAAATGACATAAATCTTGTTATCTTGTCATATACTGAAGTTAAAAGGTAAAAAGGGCAAGATAAGTGTCAGTGGTCCGATTATTCCTTCCTTAAAGAATTAGTTTTTCCTTAGTTGAAAATATCTGATTTCTTCATAGTTGAAGCGTAAGTAAAAAAAAAAAAAAGATCTTACTTTTCACACATAATTTGTACATAGTCTTGACCTTTAGGTAGTACATTAAAACTCACTAAGACAGATAGGATTAAAATACGAACTGACTTCAAACTGTGAAATTAAGTAATGTTTTTATAGCCAAAAAAAAAATTCTGTCTTTCAAAGGCCAAGACTAATTTTTCCATTTCACCTACTTCTTGCTACTCACATATGTGATCATTTGATTGCGCTGTTCTTTCTTTATTCTATTCTTTTGGTTAGGAGTAAGCAGGAAAAGAATTAATAATAAATGGTAGGAGGCACTGCATGACAATAACTCTGCAACCCAAAGGGGACCCCCTTAATCTAGGTGAGGCATATTTGACACTGCGTAACCCAGAAGGCATTGTGCAACCCCTATTCTGATATTTGCTCAAACAGTTCAGATATAAAGAAATTGTTCATTGATGCGTAGAGTTCATAATCAGCTGACTAAATACGTACTAAAATAAGGAAAGGGAAAGTGTTGGTAACAACCTACATTCACAGAACTGTTTAGAGAGCTTAGGAGATGTGGGACGCTGCTGCTGTTTGAATGCTTTTGAAAACATTGCCATTACTTTGCAGCGGTGAAATGGTGACATGCTAAGAAAATTGTTTAAAAATAACAACAAAACATCGTGGCGGGTGGCAAGGGCCGTGCCAGTCGAATGCTCCACTTCTGAAAAGGTTTGTAGGTAAGGATCAGAGGGCTTCCTCATCTCTGAAATCTGGGTGACCCAGAAAGACTCCACAGCCAGGCCTACCAAGAGAAGCTGCATGCCCCACCCCAGCAGAGATAATGCATCGAACACAACAGAGAGAAAGGGGGAAAGTTTGGAGTGAGGACGGTACCTAGATCCCTATTCATGGACTAGCTCTGTGACTTCAGCAAAGTGTTCACCTTCCCTACATTCAGATCTGTCGTCTATTAAATATTAATAATACAATCTGTCAGAGAGGAGTGTTGTAGGGACTTCAGACTCTGTGCAAACACACACGGTGTCTTCTTTTACTAAGTGGGCAAGTGATCATTCCTTCCTTGTGCTTCTCGTCAACAAATGTGACTCAAGTTAGACCCCCACGCTACCCAGCAGTGCCGCATGCAGAGTGATAGCAGAATCGGTCAGTGCTGATGGAACCAAATGAAATGAATTAAGGGAAACATACTTGATTATGAAAATTACTGCTTTCACCTGGGATTTCCTTTTGCTATGAAGATGTTCACTGTCAAATTAGTATAGAAAGTGATAGGGCAAAAAAATTTTATGTTTCAATGCATCTTACTTTAGCTAAACAGTTTGAGGTAATGGTGTCACTGATTTACTGTAAGGAACACTTACTCTGTAATACTTACAGATTGAAGGGCAAAGAGAGCCAGTATGCCAGTTAATAATGCTTGACCGTTACTTGACATTACACTAAACATATAAACAGCAAAATGATGGTAAAACTAGGCAGAAAACAACCTGCCAAACTTAACAGGAAGATGACCAACCACAGTCAAATCTTCGTTTGCAAAGTGAGAAAATATGGTGACCTGTTAAATCGTCCTTAGCAGAGTGCAGGTTAGCTAGAATGTTCTACTCGCCACTTTTAGCATTTTTCTTATAGGTACATAAAGGAATCAGTTAATACTGGGCCATTTTAAGGCAACTTGAGCTTTAACTAAATTAAGAAGAATGAAATATATACATGCCTAAACAAAAGAAACTTTATTTTGGGGGGGCTCAAAAATCACTGCAGATGGTGACTGCAGCCATGAAATTAAAAGACACTTGCTCCTTGGAAGAAAAGCTATGATCAACCTAGACAGCATAGTAAAAAGCAGAGACATTACTTTGTGAACAAAGGTCCGTCTAGTCAAGGCTATGGTTTTTCCAGTGGTCATGTATGGATGTGAGAGTTGGAGTATAAAGAAAGCTGAGCTCAGAAGAACTGATGCTTTTGAACTGTGGTGTTAGAGAAGACTCTTGAGAGCCCCCTTGAACTGCAAGGAGATCCAACCAGTCCATCCTGAAGGAGATCAGTCCTGGGTGTTCATTGAAAGGACTGATGTTGAAGCTGAAACTCTAATACTTTGGCCACCTGATGCGAAGAGCTGACTCATTGGAAAAGACCCTAAAGCTGGGAAAGATTGAAGGCAGGAGGAGAAGGGGACAACAGAGGATGAGATGGTTGGATGTTGTCACCGACTCAATGGACATGAGTTTGGGTAAACTCTGGGAGTTGGTGATGGACAGGGAGGCCTGGCGTGCTGTGGTTCATGGGGTCGCAAAGAGTCGGACAAGACTGAGCAACTGAACTGAATTGAAACAAAAAAAAGTGAGCTTTGTAGAAACAATTTATATTGACATTTTTGAGACAGGAGTCTGGCTTCTCATGCTTTTTCTTCAGGTTTGAAACAAGTTGATTGAGAGATGATTAACATGTCGTAGAATTCATCCACTTAAAGTTACAACCTAAGAAGTCCCTGGCGGTCCATGCTTCCACTTCAGGAGGCAAAGGTTCAGTCCCTGGTGGAGAACTGAGATCCTGCATGCTGTGCAGTGTGGCCTAAATTAATTAACTAATTAAAGTGTAAAACACAAGGCCTTTTTGTATATTCCTGGACTCGTGCGTGCATCACCATAATAAATTTTCGCACATTTCGTTACCCCACAAAGAAAGTTTGCCACACAGCCAACA